TTATTTAACTTATATGCAGAGTATACCATGGGAAATGCCGGACTGAATGAAGCTCAAGCTGGAATCAAGATTGCTGGGAGAAATATCAATAACCTCAGATATGCAGATGACACCATTCTAATGGCAGAAAGTGAAGAGGAAGTAAAGAGCCTCTTGATGAAGGTGAAAGAGGAGAGTGAAAAAGTTGGCTGAAAATTCAATATTCAAAAAACTAAGGTCATGGCATTAGTGAAGTCGCTCAGTTGTGTCCAACTCTTTGCGACTCCATGGACTATAGCCTACCAGGCTCCTCTGTCCATGGAATCTTCCAGGCAAGAATCCTGGAGTGGGTTGCCATTTCCTTCTCCAGGGGATCTTCCCAGCCCAGGGATTGAACCCAGGTCTCCTGCATTGTAGGAAGACACTTTTACCATCTGAGTCCCATCATTTCATGGCAAACAGATGGGGAAACAATGGAAATAGTGACAGACTATTTTCTTGGGCTCCAAAATCACTGGACGATGACTGCAGACATGAAATTAAGCTTGCTCCTTGGAAGAAAAGCTATGACAAACCTAGACAGCATATTAAAAAGCAGAGACATCACTTGGCTGACAAAGGTATGTATAGTCAAAGATACACTGGTTTTTCCAGTAGTCATGAACGGATATGAGAGTTGGACCGTAAAGAAGGCTGAGTGCCAAAAAATTGATGCTTTTGAACTGTGGTGCTGGAGAAGGCTCTTGAGAGTCCTTTGGACTGCAAGGAGATCAAAACAGTCAATCCTAAAGGAAATCAGTCCTGAATATTCACTGGAAGGACTGATGCTGAAGCTCCAATCCTTTGGCCACTTGATGGGATGAGCTGACTCACTGAAAAAGACCCTGATGCTGGGAAAGACTGAAAGCAGGAGAAGAAGGGGATGACAGAGGGTGAGTTGGTTGGATGCCATCACTGACTCAATGGACATGAGTTTGAGGAAGCTCCAGAGGACAGTGAAGGACAGGGAGGCCTGGACAGGGGGAGAAGTGGATACAGCACAACGGGAGGGATGCGGGGGCTCCTGAAAGGTGACCCAGCAAAACATTCTGAAGAACAAGATGAGAGATGAGGGGCCTTAGAGCCAGGAAGGGAAATTTATTTGATGGCACAGCTGAGAGGCAAAAATGTGTCTTGGATATGCAGGCTCCCACCCAGGGGAGATGCTAGAGCTTTACGAGACCAAGCATTTGTCCGCCAGCTGCCTGCTTTGTGAAGTGGTTATGTGACAGTCATCACCAGACAGGGACTTCTGGGCTGTGCAAGAAGTGACTGCTTTTCTACACAGTTCTGGAAAAGAGTCTGAGCTTCCCATTTCTCACCTTCTCAAAACAAAACCCAACTGATGGCCAACTTTGTAGAAACAGACCTTCAAAGCCTGCTTTGAGGGGAGAGCACTGGAAAGTGATCACAGGTTTGAAGTTCTCTGTCACTGAACAGGATCTCTGTGTCCTACCAGGGTCCCCAACCTCTGGGATCTAATAATGCCTGATGACCTGAGGTGGAGTTGATGTAACAGTAATAGAAGTAAAGTGTACAATAAATTTGATGTGCTTGAATCACTGGAAAACTGGTGTCTTCGATGAAACCTGTACCTAGTTCCAAAAAGGTTGGGGACCACTGCTGTTAACCTATAAACGAGCTAAGTCCTAATACTGACATTATGTAGCTTCTGTAAAGTTACACCAGACACCACATGGCAAAACCTAGGGGAGTTGAATGACATGGCTAAGGCTGCATGATTAGGAAGTGGCTGAGTTGGATTTGGACCCAGGTGAGGAGCTCTATGGCCCTCCCAGAGCAGAAGAGGCTGTGTGTTTCAGTCCCAGCGGGGAGGGGGATGGTGTGGCTATTCTTATGCCAGCTCTTCTCAGGGACCTTTGCTATATAGAGAGTTTGGCAGGAGACATAGGCTAATGGCTGGACTAGAAACCCATTAGTAGTAGTCACGTACAGATGTGAGAGCTGGACCATAAAGAAAACTGAGTGCCGAAGAACTGATGCTTTTGAATTGTGGTGCTGGAGAAGACTCTTGAGAGTCCCTTGGATAGCAAGGAGATCAAACTGGTCAATCCTAAAGGAAATCAACCCTGAATATTCACTGGAAGGACTGATGCTGAAGCTCCGATATTTTGGCCACTTGATGTGAAGTGCTAACTCACTGGAAAAGACCCTGATGTTGGGAAATAATGAGGGCAGGAGGAGAAGGGAATGCCAGAGGATAAGATGGTTGGATGGCATCATCGACCTAACGGACAGGACATGAGTTTGAATAAACTCTGGAAGATAGTGAAGGACAGGGAAGCCCGGTGTGCTGCAGTCCATGGGGTTGCAAAGAGTCAGACACGACTTAGTGACTGAACAACAGCAAGCTCAAATGAAACAAATGAGAAACTGCAACCTACAGATCCGCACAGTAATGCTAGTTTCTCTAACATGTGCAACAATGCTCAGCTTATCTGTACTCCCAAGCGTGCTGCATACTGTATGCAGACCAGTTGGGCTTTCAAGGCTGCAAATCAGATTGAAGAGCTTGGGAGTTCTTGGCAGCATCATGTGGTGCTTTTGGTGGAAATGTCCATGTAGCGGAAACATTTTGTCTCAGGTGGAAAAAAATGAAGGCTCTAAACCATGGTGGCCCCCTCTCCATGAGCTGGCAAGTGTAAAATTTTTTGATTCTCATAATAGCTTGCTCCACTGGACTCTGGCTCCTGGGGATTCTTCTAGATGTACTGCCTTCCTCTCCTGCTGGGACATCCTTTAGGTCCATTAACGGATCTGGTGCTGCTGGGAATCACTAATTCTAAATTAAAAATCACTAATTATCGGAGGGGAGCCCACATATCCACAGGCTGTCACCGTGGTGGCTCTGGTCTAGGAGCCTCCGCCCTGTCTACCCATCTGTGTATTTGCCAGGTCAGCCACAGCACATCCAGCACTCACCCTGTTACTGCTTCGGCTTTGCCCACTGCATGCCTCCCCTGCTACCAAACAAGCTCCAGCATGGAAGCTTCCTTGGTCACTGCTGTGTCCCTGGTGGTGGTGACTTAGTTGCTAAGGCATGTCCAACTCTTATGACCCTATGGACTGAAGTCCACCAGGCTCCCCTGTCCATGGGATTCTCCAGGCAAGAATACTGGAGTGGGTTGCCATTTCCTTCTCCAGGGGATCTTCCTGATCTAGGGACTGAACCTGGGTCTCCTGCATTGCAGGCAGATTCTTTACCAGCTGAGCCACAAGGGAAGCCCAAGAATACTGGAGTGGGTAGCCTATCCCTTCTCTAGGGCATCTTTCTGACCCAGGAATTGAACTGGGGTCTCCTGCATTGCAGGTGGATTCTTTACCAGCTGAGCTATCAGGGAAACCCANTTCATTCCTGGAGAAGTCCATGGACAGAGCAGCCTGGCAGGCTACAGTCCATGGGGTCACAAAGTGTCAGATACAACTGAGCGACCAGCGTTCACTTTCTCATCTAACAGTGTGCTCTGACCCTTAGAGAGATGTATTTTGAGATCGTCTACGGGCAATTCCACATTACGACTTTGGTAGAAGCCATCACAGAACGTGGAGTCAAACAGGACACTAGGCTCTTAAATTAGCGTCTTCTGGGAATTAGCACGAGTTCCTTGAATCCCCCTCTGGCTACCAGGTAGTATTCACACACAGTCTCCAAGGGCAGTGCCTGAATTCTCAAGACCAGGCTGTCACCCAGGAACCGTGTTACAACTCCACGCTCGTGGAAATGAAGCGTGGCCAGGGTAATGCCCGCAGAGCTGGGGAAGGGCGGGACGGATCTGAGCTCGAGGTCACCCTAGATTCTTGCCGCCGTTTTCAAGCATCTCCAGAGACAGTGCCCCTCATTAGAGCTCAGTAGAGACGCTCATCAAACCTCTAAAGCAAGCGCTGTGAGCCCGAGGTGGCAGCTGCTGACGGCGGGCCAGGCCACATGCCTGGTTTCCTGCAAAGAAATCACCGTCCACCTCTTTCCCACCCCAGCCTCACCGAGAAGGAACGCCCCAGCCTTGCTCCTGCCCACTCCCCAAATCTAGCACGTTCCTCAGGACACCCAGCAAGAAGGGGTCCTTGAATTAGGGAGTACTGCACATATCTCTCAAATGGGGAGGGGGCAGCTTTGAGGCTGCCCGTCATCACCTTCACCTCTAAGAGGCTGAGCCAAATATAGAAACCGTGAGGGGGTGTGTGTGGGGGACTCCTCATTTTCATTCTGCATCACTGTTTGTGTCTCTTTTGTGAAAAAAAAGATGCACTTCTTTTCCTTCTAAAAACGATGGTGAGCGCTTTGCTGCGCTTTGAAGTGGGACTTCGTTATCAAGACTTGAGTTAATATTTCCTTCTAGAGGAACACGGCTCTCATCTCTAATGGAGGGGCTGGAGGGCCAGAGAGAATCTAAGGAAATGCACTCTGGATGTGGCTTTTCAAGAACGCCTGCATCAGGCAAAGAGAACCAGCTTCAAAGTCTTTTCCTGCTTTCATGTGCTTGCAAGTGGCCTGGAAGAGTTCAAAGCGGGGGCGGGGGGGCATGAAACATCCGGCTCCCTCCTTCCCTCCCCACTTTCTTCCTTCTATGGACACATATTTATCCTACACCAGGTGCAGTGTTAGCCACCGGGCTCTCAGCTGGGAGGATTTCATCTGCTGCCCCTTCAATAAATGGTAGCCCCTTTGTTTTTGCTTTATAAAGCGCATTTACTTCTCAGGGTATCACAGCACCAGGGAAGGCAGATCACGTAAAACCAACGGGATTCTATTTCAAGTCCCCCAGCAGCCGGTCCCGAGCATCCCTCGAGAACGAGGTGTCCTTACCTCTCAGCTGCTGGAAGCAGGAGGCGCTGCTGTCTGGCTCCAGGGGGTGTCTCAGGACCCCGTTGCTGGGTTTGGGTCTCTCGTATTCTCTTTCGGGGAGCATGGCCTGCTCGCTCTCCAGGGCGGGGTCTGAGTGCGGGGGCAGAGACTGTGGGAACCCAAACATCAGGACGGACGAGAAGAAGAGTAAGGCACCGCAGAGCAGAAAGCCGCCCCACCAGGCTCCGATCCAGCGGGGGTCGTCCGGGGTGATGTCCAGGTTACCTGCACCAACCAGAAAGAGTGCGGTTAACAGGAGGGCACCGGGCAGGCCCGGGCGCTTGGCCGAGGCTTGCGGTCAGCTGTACAGACCAGCCAGGGCTCCGGAGATGGCCTGGCTGGGGAAGACTGGACAAAGGGCAAAGCAGCCCGTGGCCTCCGAGCTGAGCGTCTGGTTTTCCCCAAGCTGAAGGCTGATTGTGTTCCCTCCTTAATTTTCTTGTCTACTTTGTGCCTGTATCAGTCTAAACAAAAACAGGGAGAAGCCAGACGCCCCCTGAGTTTAGGCTGGCATTGACTGACGTGGCCGAGCTGCCAAGGTCTGCTAACAAAAGCACGGGGAGACAGAAAGGTTCATCGCTCAAGGGTGTATTTTTACTTTGTATGTTCACTTGCACCCCCTACAAAGCTGCTAACCTGAGATCCCCTTCCACACCCCACTCTCCCAGCCTTAACCTGGTGGACAGATCACGTAGGGCGGTGCAGAATGGAAACCAAGAGCCAGGATACCTGGAAAGAAACCCTGCCCACTTCTCGCAATGTGACCTCAGGCTAGCAATCTGAACTCTCCACGCCTCAGCTGACTGATCTGTAGAGTGCTGATTATTATGACGGTACTTACCCTGATCGAGTTCGGAAGATCAAATGAGCCACACCAGACACAAAGTGCTCAGAACACTGTCTGGCGCGTGCTTAAGCACTTAATTGATGTGAGCTTAATATTCATGGCAAGGGTTCTTTTCCTAAGCTACTAGTGTGTGTGTGTGTGTGTGTATGTGTGTGTGTGTGTGTGTGTGTATGTGTGTGTGTGTGTGTGTGTGTATGTGTGTGTGTGTGTGTTAGTGTTAGCTGCTCAGTCATGTCTGACTCTTAGCGACCTCATGGACTAATTCTCCAGGTGTGTGTGTGTGTGTGTGTGTGTGTGTGTGTGTGTGTTAGCTGCTCAGTCATGTCTGACTCTTAGCGACCCCATGGACTAATTCTCCAGGAAAGAATACTGCAGTGGGTTGCCATTCCCTTCTCCAGGGGATCTTCCCAACCCAGGGATTGAACCCGGATCTCCTGCACTGCAGGCGGATTCTTAACCAGCTGAGCCACCATGGAAGCTGATGGGGGATGGGTTAACTCAAATTCCGTGATGGCCAGTGGTCTGGGGGCCAGTCCTCTACTGAAAGCTCTGTAGCCAGTGTCTATGCTTTGAGGCCCCATGCAAGTGGTGTGGCCATCTAGTACTGTGACTTGTTTGACTTTCCAGCTGGAGTCAAGAAGATGTACATTTCTGTTGCCCCCTTGGTAGATGTTTTTTCCCTCTTTCCACATCTCCCTTGCAGAGCAGGGTGCTCCCACCTGAGCTGCTTAGAGATATCTCTTTGATGATGATCCCATGCCCTTGGGGCACAGGAGGAAATTCATCTCAGTGATCTGGGTTATAGCATCTGAGCTAAGAACGAACGGGGCTGCAGGCCTGGACAGATGGATGGACAGGCTTGGGAAGAGAAATGACCGCAGTCACTGGATGAGTGCTCCCCCACGTCTAAAGTGCTCTTCCTGAAGACTCCCCAGTTATCAGTGATGAAAACACCAGCCGTCATCGACCGAGGGCTCACTCTGCACCAGGGACTATGTGGAGTGGATTCTTAACTGTTCCAATCAACCCTCCCCACAACCCTACGAGGTAGAGCCTTTTGTTTTCTATTGTCCCTATTTCATACAGATGGAGAAATCAAGGCTTAGAAAGGCTGGGTGTGGGCTTCCTTGCTGGCTCCATGGTAAAGAACCTGCCTGCCAGTGCAGGAGACAAATTTGATCCCTGGTCTGGTAAGCAACGAAGCCTGTGTGCCAGAACCTGAGCTTGTACTCTAGAGCCTGGGAACCACAACTACTGAAGCCCATGTGCCCTAGAGCCTGTGTTTCACAACAAGAGAAGCCACTGCAATGAGAAGTCCATGCATCGCAATAGAGAGTAGCCCCCACTTGCTGCAACTAGAGAAAAAGCCTGTGCAGCAATGAAGATCCAGCACAGCCAAAAGCAAATAAATACAATTATATTAAAAAAAAAAAAAGAAACAGGAAAGGCTGAGTGCCTTGCCTACATCCACAGAGTTGAAGACCAGAACACAGGCATCCAGATGCCAACGGCTCTGCTCTCTCCCTCTTGACTGGCAGGCCTTTGTTTTGGGCTCTCTGGAGGGTTCTTGAAGGCTAATTCTTCTGCTCTGGGCAGTGGGTAAGACGACCAGCTCTTCTGATGGGTGGCAACTTGGCCTTTGGAACACTGGTGGTCTCTAACCTGGAGGCCTTGACATCAACCACGCAGCAATAACCAGGGCACTTGAGTGGACCAGATGCTTTTGTGTAGGTACATGCTGGAGAAGAGAGAGCATACACTCTAGTGGGCTTGGGGCTGAATCTCACTATTTCTACTTACTAGCATGTGATGCTGAATCCCACCCTTCTTACTTACTAGCATGTGATGCTGAATCCCACCCTTCTTACTTACTAGCATGTGATGCTGAATCCCACCCTTCTTACTTACTAGCATGTGATGCTGAATCCCACCCTTACTACTTACTAGCACCTGATGCTGAATCCCACCCTTCTTACTTACTAGCACCTGATGCTGAATCCCACCCTTCTTACTTACTAGCACCTGATGCTGAATCCCACCCTTCTTACTTACTAGCACCTGATGCTGAATCCCACCCTTCTTACTTACTAGCACCTGATGCTGAATCCCACCCTTCTTACTTACTAGCACCTGATGCTGAATCCCACCCTTCTTACTTACTAGCACCTGATGCTGAATCCCACCCTTCTTACTTACTAGCACCTGATGCTGAATCCCACCCTTCTTACTTACTAGCACCTGATGCTGAATCCTACCCTTCTTACTTACTAGCACGTGATGCTGAATCCCACCCTTCTTACTTACTAGCATGTGATGCTGGGACAGGTACTCACCCTCCCTGACTCTTGGTTTCATCATTTGCAAAATAAAGACGATAGACAGCCCAGAACAGTGGTTACCAGGCTGAGAGGTAATAAAGCAGCATCACTTGACACACAGTAGGCTCTTACCTACTGGAGCGCTTAATCTTGAACTTTCAGGGATGTATTTATGTAAATGGGAATTTTAAGGCATAGATTTTTTTTCATTTAACAATGCACTGTAAAGATCTCTCAAAATTACCACACATTAATGCTGTGTAATATTCCATTTTAGGGATTACATAAATTTTTAGCTAGTTTCTTAAGCCTTGTACACTGAGGTATGTTTTAATCTTTTTATTAATATCAACACTTCTGAGGAGAGCTTTCTAGTAGCTCAGTCACTGGATATAAACAGTATTTTTTAAGTAAATTCCTACATGGAGAAATTTTGCACGGCACTAATGCACAATTAGGGCTTCCCTGGTGGCTCAGTGGTAAATAATCCGTCTACCAATGCAAGAGACTGGGTTTGATCCCTGGGTGGGGGAGATCCCCTGGTGAAGGAAATGAGAACCCTCTCCAGTATCCTTGCCTGGAAATCTCATGGCCGGAGGAGCCTGGTGGGCTACAGTCCATGGGGCCACAAAGAGTTGGACACAATCTAGGGACTGAACAACAGCAATGCACAATTATATGTCTTCTGATGGTCAGTAACAAGTAGGAGTCTAATATACCAGTGTCAGTTTCCATTGCTATCAGGGGTGTGAAACTGCTTGGTCTTCAAACCCATCTACTCCAACAAAAGGTATAGATCTTTTTTTTTTTTTTAAAAAGGAGTACGGTGTAGAAAAACAGGGTGATGTTGAAAGCATCTTTATGCAAACAAGAGGAGAGAAAAGGAAGTCACACCACCCTGGAGCTGAGCAAGACTGTTTGCACCAATCCCTTACTGTTTTCCTTCACCTGCTGCCAAGCGCTGAATGAAAACAAAAGGCGGGAAAAGGGAAATGTAGTATTTCCCTCCTTTGTCTCTGGGCCCCATAAAGCTGCCAGATGTGAGCCAGCAGGGACGGAGAAAGCGTGGCAGCTGTTGGGAGAAGGAAATCAGAAGCACGTGGACAGCCGTATTTTAGATAGGAAGTTAGTGGCTGCCGTGCCGTGAGAAAACACCCCTGGGGGAGGCAGGTGTCTGTGAAAGCCAGGCGACTCGCCAGAGTGTGCTCACAGTTCCTGAGTCAGGGCTAGGCACCCACCTGTGACACCATCAGCGCACACCGGCCGCTTTGGAGGGGGCGGGCGGGGGCGGGTCTGCAGAAGGCAGGGATCTGAAGAACCAGGAAAATCACGGCTGACTATTCTGGGAGGTATTGATTTTTTCCCTCTGTTTCAATTATCCAGTGGACGGTGGCAGGGAGAGAAATAAGAGGCTGAGAAGAAACCACTCAGCCTTGGAGCAGGCTGGCCTCAGGACCGGTCAGCCTCATGAGCGGAGTGTCAGCCCGCTTCTGGGGGCTCTTGTGGAGACAGTGAATGCTTGACACCAGCCTGAGACACATCTTTTCTTTTTCAAATTTGTAAAAATTGAAGCAGACTTGCTTTATGGGCTTGCCAGATGACACTAGTGGTGAAGAACCTGTCTGCCAGTGCAGGAGATGTAAGAGACCGGGGTTCGACCCCTGGGTCAGGAAGATTCACCTGGAGGAGGACATGGCAACCCACTCCAGGAGTCTGGCCTGGAGAATCTCATGGACAGAGGAGCCTGGAGAGCTATAGTCCATGGGATCATAGAAAGTTGGACACGACTGAAGTGACTTAGCATGCATGCAGAGTTGCTTTATGAAGATGCGTTAGTTTCTGCTGTACAATGAAGTGAATCAGCTACATGTATACATATATCCGCTCCCCCCCACCCCTCTATCCCTGCCAACCCCTCTAGGTCATCACAGAGCATCAAGCTGAGCTCCCTGTGCTATAAAGCAGATTCCCACTATATATCTATTTTACACATAATAGTGTATACCTATCAATGCTAGTCTCTCCATCTGTCTCACCCCCTTCCCCCCACCCCATGTCCA